CCAGGGCCCTTGGCAGCCCTGTGTTAAGGATGGCAGCATCTCCATTGGTCTGAGTCCTCAGAATGGCAGCCGAAGTTGTCTGTTCTGCCAACTGCAATACAGTTTCATGAAGTAGATATGGAATTGTGTGTACTGTTTTACAAGTATACATTCCACAGACCGTTAGAGTAGTTGGGCTACCGTGTTCTCCAATGTATGTATTTCTTCCTTCTCTGTTTTATCATAGGCTGCTTGAAAGCAGGGTCCACATATCCCCTCTGCATCACCCATAGGATCTCCCTCAGAAGTAGCATGGGGCATGGGATCACTAAACAGCTGTTGCTCAGAGATTCTGAGTCTCCTTTTATTCCTGGGTGAGGTAAAACACTACTAGCAACACGGCAAATCCTATGGGATTTGGTTTCACTTTGAAATCCATCTTGGGACTGAAAGATCTCTAACGCAGGTGCACAGCTCAGGGCTGACATGGTCAGCGAAGTGCGACACACATTATTTTATTCTCTGCAAATGGATGGTCTGCGGTGACCCAGCTTTTCCATCATTCCAGCACCTTCCCCGTCACCAGCTGTGCCGTGGGTGCTGAGAAGGGGCCCAGAGCCAAGGCAAATCAGAATGGTGGGGGTGGGCTTGGGGGCGGAGCTTGTGTCACTAACTAGGAGGGAATTATGAATGTGCTCTCAAAGTCAAATGCAGTGGTGATCGTCTTTTTTTGTAAGCTGTGAAATGCATCTTCCCGTTGATTTATTTTCATCCATAATCAGCTGTTAGCAATAGGAGTGTGTCAGTTAAGACTAGCCAGGGTGCTGAGTAAGCCCTGTCCTAGGAGCAAAGGAAACTTTCAAAATGGGAATTTTATCTGTGTGTATCAGATCTCTTGAATAAAGAAAAAGCATCTTCCCCCCTCCCCCCAACAGCTTGCAGCAGGTCAGGCGGGGAACGCACGGTAAATATTAAAATCCGCATTAGAGAAACAAATGAGTTTTGCCCTGTGGTTCTTGACGATGCAAGACTGTAGCTGCCAGCTTCCAATTCGGTTTGGGGCAGTGTCCTCATGAACCCCATGGCCACCCGGTGCATGTGCTCATGCGTGCATGTGCCGGCACACATGTGCATGCATGCACACGTGCTCACGCACACACACACACACACACACATGCACACATGCTTTCCTCCATAAATGCACTTTTAAAAAATAATTGAGTAAACCCATTGTTCTCAAAAATTAGCATTTGTGAGGCTGGTTGAAACTCAGATGTGGGTTCCACCCCCATGACTGATAATTGGTCACATCTGGAGCCAAGCCTGGTTGTTTTCACTTCTAGAAAATACCCAAAAGGAGGTGCTGCTACTGCTGCTGCCTTGGCGGTGGCGGTGGCAGTAGCAGTGGCGTTTGTGACCACGGTGGTGGTGATGATGACGATGGTGATGGTGGGGGCAGTGTGGCTTGGTGGTCACACTCTGAAAGCCAGTGGTCTGAACCGTTCCATCTTGCTCCCACTGATGAAGAAACCTACAAACCTGCACAAAGCCACCGCCTTCTAAGATGAAGGCGTCCGGAAGTGGGGGCTCGTTTCCCCGTGAAGAGAGGTTGAAGCTGTGGATGATGGGGCGCACAGATGCCCCAGGTAGTTAGTGGACTCTTGCCTCTCCTCTTGCTCTTCCCCAGCAGAGAGACTTGAGTATCCTTTATCTGATAAACCATGCCAGTGCATGGATTTGAGGTCATTTTAGATTTTGAATCATGATACATTCCCTCATTTCCCAGTAGTAAAATGAAGAGCTTGTTCTAGATAAGCGCTCTCAGTTCTGGTACCCCACAGGATAACACTGTTGTTTCGATTACATCCTGCTTAGAAATCCCATTACAGCTGTTGTGGGTTAAAGTAGAAAAATAAGAATTTTAACAGCGAGTAAGTGATTCTGCTATGCCATTCTCTAGATGGCTGTGGGAGCAAGATGAAACATGGCACACCCTCCAGCTCCCCTGAACTCCACGGTGTCCACTTTCCCCTTCAGCAGCCCCGCCTGACCCTGTGTGTTCCCCACCCCCACCTACATGCATACTATACTACTTAGTGTGTCACAGAGTGGCTTCCTACTTCATTAACTCACTCTGCTTAATCAGACAGAAGATGAGACCCAAACAAACTGCAGAATACATGGAGATTAGCTGGAAAAAATATAAACAAAGGACAAAGAAAACTTTTTGAAGCCCTCAGAAAATGTTAACTGTGGAGGCAGAAGCGTGCCTGGAAAGCGACTTCCTCACAAGCTCACAGGGACTTGGAAGGGTCCACGCTCCACTGGAGACCGCCTCCATGCTGTTTACTCAGCAGGATCAGCCCAAACCCGTTTTGCTATGATTCCTGCAGACTCACATGGACTTTCTACTTACAAGTGACATAGATAAGAGGATTTCTGACTCCTTCCTCACAACCCCTTTATCTTATACAAGCAAAATGATGTTGAAAATTGAGCCATCTGGATGGTTCGCCTTCCCCTAGCACACCAGGACTGTGGCTTGAAAGTGGCTCTTCCTCCCAGGGCTGACAGTGTTTATTCAAGTCTCTTGTCTTGTTTTTCTCAGAAGTTACGTTTCTCGTTACGGTGACAATATACCTGACATGGTTTAAGGAAGAAGGGTTTTTATCTGTTTATGAGTGCAGAAATGTCAAGCCATAGTCCACAGCTATGACGCTGGGCCCATGGTGAAGGAGAAGATGATGGCATCGAGAAGCTGTGGAGAAGGCGTGATTTGCTTCATGGAAGACAGAAAGAGGAACATGTTTCAGTTGCTTTTTTCCTCATGTTGATGAGAGAACTGACAGAAGCATCTGAAAGGATGGAGGGTTGATTGTGACTTGCCGTTTCAGGGCAGGGAAGGTGTGACAGCATTCATGGTGGTGGGAGTGGCCTTTGCCCATGGTGGAAGGAGCATGGGGACTCCTGCTCACATCACAGAGAATGAAAAACAGAAAGCACAGTCCAGAAGCAAGGCTAGTCTGTACTGCTCAAAGCCTACCCTCACAGGGACTCACTTCACCCATCTAAGACCCCCCACACTGACACACTTTACCCATCTAGACCCCACCCTCACAGTGACTCACTTCACCCATCTAGGCCCTGCCCTCCACAGTGACACACTTCAACCATCTAGGCCCCGCCCCCACAGTGACTCAGTTCACCCATCTAAGACCCCCCAGTAACACACTTTACCCATCTAGGCCCCGCCCCTCACAGTGACACACTTTACCCATCTAGGTCCCACCCCCCAGGAACTCACTTCATCCATCTGAGCTCCACCCTCTAAAGATTCCACTGACTCTCACAAAATGTGTCACCAACTGAGGATCTGGGTTCAAACACTCTGAATCTGTGGAGGGACATTTAACTTTCAAACCATAACAGGGAGGGACAGAAACCTGAGACAAAACTCCCCACCCCCAGTGCTCTACTTCCTGAAGCTAGTTTCCACTATCTACAGCTCCCAGGGGCTCCCAAAATACCACTGCCAGCTGGGGGCAAGTGACTCACCGCGTAAGTCCGTGGGACACATTTCATATTCAAACCCCAGCAGTAAGGCTAGACACAAAATTTCATCTGTGCAGCCCAACCTAACTCCACCTTCATTTTATCCTGGAAACTGCTACCGTGAAACTGAGAACCCCAGGAACTTCTGGGCCTTCCCTTCTGAGCTTCATTTAAAGCTTGGAATTGATCGAGCCTCTTCAATTTAGCTGTCATTTTCGATGAATTTTTTTTCAGTCAAATGGCTTTAGTTAAGTTGAGAGACAATTTAGTTTTCAGGTGAGGGGCAATTGAGTAATTGAATTCCACCATGTGGTCTGGACATGAACCCACGGCCTGGGGACCGGCGCCTTTCTGTTAATTAATTCTCCACGTCAGACAGCTGGAAAGCCGCCGCTTCCGCCTGCTCGGAGTTGACTAATTAATTAAGCTGTGTTTGTAAACAGGCATTTTCTCCCCCAGCACTTTTTTGATCATCTGTTTCCTTAGCTACAAGCTGGTGACCCTACTTAATGGCAAACTACCTAGCCAATAATTCTACTCTCCTACAGGCTCTGGACAGTTCTTTTGGAGGCTGCCCAGCACTGGGCAAGTCTAGGCATTGGAAGGAGGTCAGTAAGGATTCAATTAAGCCATTTATTAATTATGTAGCTCCAGGCAAATTGCCTTGCATCTCAAAATATCAGTTTCCCCCATTTTCTCTTGCAAACCCCCGAGCATTTAGCCCAATGTCTTGAAGATTGTTGACATTCCCTCTGTGCAGGTCTGCTTTACTGAAGGCGCACCCATGCTGTGCCTTTGTGCAGGGGGTCAGGGGATGGCTAACTGCAAGCTACTTCTGCTTATGTTCTTACACTGGCCTTTCTCCAACAGTTGGTTGTCACTCTGGCAGCTGTTGTCACCTTTATACTTTACAGAGAGAGACTCAGTCTCTGGAAAGGGGACCAACTAAGTCCCAGGGCCACCCGGGGGTGCAGCTTGAAGCATGTCTTCACACTCCCGGGTCTTGAGGTTTTCCTGTGAGATCAGGTTTCCCCCTAACCTTCCAGGGAGGGGCGTGGAGGAGAGGACACGACATGAGATGCTAAACACTGGGCGTGGGTAGGCGAGTTACAGGACTACTGCCTAAAATAGCTCTCATTAAAGAAATCAGTGCTCATCAGCGATGCTCGCGGTGGCGAAACACCTGTTAAGAGCATGTTACCCAATAGGAAGGAGCATGCTGCTCACCCCCTTTCTGGAGCACCTGCTTTGGCTGGATGATGATTTATATTGTCAGCAAGTGTTGTAACTCAAAGTTATTAACTAGTTTCCGGAGCACGCGCGCTGACATTTCTGCAGTCCCATATATGACCAGTTCTTTGGACAGCTTTGTGAGGGGCATAGGAGAAAGATAAGAAAGATACATGTGTGTGCATATGGACAGACAGACGTAAAATTACAATCTCCCGTTTGACGGTACGCACCCGAGAATGCCGGAGGTGAAAACTGTCGTATTCGCGGGGCTCACCAGTGGTGGGGTGGTACTGATTCCAGAACTTCCTGTGGTATGGTTAGTTCTGTTTCAGCAGACTACCATTAAAGAGAGATTGACATCAGCATTGTACTTCCAGTGAAGAACGCCGAAGAATGTTTTGCTATTTTTGTCTTTTCGGTCTGCTTCCCTTTCCCTCTTTTCTTGCATGTGTGTGTCACACATATGCGTGCACATATGTGCATTGCGTTTGGAGCACACAGGACAATCTTGGTGCTTTTTCTCAGGCACAGCTCACCTTTTATTGAGATGGGGTCTCTCACTGGTCTGGCCTCACAGTCTCAGCTAAGCAGCCTGGCCCATAAACCCGGGAATCTACTTGGCTTCTTCTTTGTGCATTGCTATTTTAATTGTGTGCCACCGAGCCCTGCCTGGTAAAGGTGGGCATGGAGCTCAGACGCTCATGTTTGCAAGGCCAGAATTTAGATGAATGAGCTCTCTCCCCAACCCTTCTTCTCTTGACTTGGTTCTACATGGTAATTATAACCTTTTTCCTAAACATATATTTTAATCAATTTCTGGTACTTGGTCACTCTCCAGAAATTTAATGGCTTGAAATAACCACCATTTTACCATTCTACTTCCTTTAAATTGGTGATTGGTTTGAGTTGGGGTTAGCTATGTGGTCCCTGGATCCGTCTCACAGGGTTTCATGTGTTCATCAATTCCCCTGATGGTTAACCAAGTCTGAATAATCCAAATAGCCTCACTGATGTTGACACTGGGACTCAGAAGGGCCCCTCCCCTGCTGTTTGCTCATCCTCTAGGAGGACTACTAAGTGCTCAACACGGTTAGCAACGTTTTATAAGGACAAGTCCTATATCACGGGAGATTGCTCAGCAAATCTCCACGCAATGCTACACATTCTTGATACCCTTTGAGCCGAGAAAGTCACAAAACCAAATTCAAACCCAGTGTAACAAAGACTACATGGAAGCATCATGCTTTCATGGAAACGCTGTTCACTCGTTTGTTTAGCTAATATTTCTTTGGTTCTTCTCCCCCTATGTCAAGCATTGGGGATGTAAGAAATCAAAGTCAGTCTTGCCAGCATCTCCTGTCTTCTGGAGGAGACAGGTGACCGGGATGCTCTTTGGCCAGTTTGGTTACTGAGATACACATTACACACAAGGAATGCTGAAAGTCAAGCGCGGGGCTGGGATAAGCAAAGGCTTCTGGGTGACTGTGGGTACTGTCTAAGCTGAATCCTGAGCATGGAGTGAGTGTTATCCAGAGCACTGCAGGATCAGGGTAGAGCAGTCCAGCGTGAGTGAAGACACTCTAGCCAGAGAGACCAGAGAGTGCTGCTACATAAGGATCTGAGAAGGCCAGGTCTACGGGAAGTGATAAGTCAAAAAGTAACAAAGGCAGGAGTGGGATGGTGGCAGACAAGAGGAGAGGGGGGGTGGTAGAGAAAGGGACAAAAGGATGGAAGAAATGTTTACTTTTCCGAGGAGGGTAGCTGAGAGTGAATGACAAGACGCTTAGGGATGGCAGAGCGTCTTCATCTTAGAGAGATGGCTTTGGGAACTGAATGGAGGGTGAAGTGCAGGAAGATATGGCTCGAGGCGGGGAGAACAGATGTGATACAGAAAGCCAGGCAAGAGGCAGAGGGTGAGGGGATGGCTCCAGTGTGGCATCCTGGGCCTCCACTTCCGCCTTCCAAAGCTGGGGGAGGCATTTCAGTGCCAGGGGGAGGGTGTGAAATCCTAGTTTAGCCTAGCATTGTCTAGACTATGTGAACAGAAGTATTTTGTACATAATGAATAAGTACCCTCAACCTCTAAATTGACAAGGGAAGTGGTGGACCGTGGATTTTGAACTTCTTTTTTACGTGTACCGTTTCCTAATTCATTTATTCTGTATGCTTATGCTTGGGAGGAGGGTTGTGCCATCAGGCACATTTATAAGTCAGAGGACAATTGTGAGAGTCATTAAGCCATCTCACCAGCCCTTTGAACTGTTTTGATCCTCTAGTATGGTGTGTGAGCAAACTGATCTCTGAATGGGCAAGGTAGCCGGGAGGGAGAGTGGGTACCTTCCTGTACACGGAGAGCTCTTTCAATATTCTCTCCCCTCCCTGCCATATCTGCGGTCTTGCAGGCATCCCTGACAATTTTGTCCTCTTCCTTTTGGGCTCCATTAGTCCCTCAGTAAGCCCACATGTGTTTGTCGTGCATAGGCCTTGCTTATTTTCACATATGCTCACGCCCTTCAGCCTTGGATTCCCTGTATGATCAGGCTTGGGGTGACGTCGCTCCACTGCCCTGCACGGCACATTCATAACTATCAGAGTTTACATTCAGATGCATGATCAGGAAAATTGTCATTAGACTTACACAATGCGTCTCTTCTGTTTCTCTCTGCTTGACACTTGCTCATGAGCATCCTGCAATGATAAAAGCAGCAAACAGCTCTTAGCAGACTTCTGTGGCAAGGCCATCCTGCTCAGGTTTAGCTAGATTTTTCTAGCTCTGGAAATTGTGCCTGAGATGCTGATTTTGCTGGTTTGGTCAGCTTATTAAATGTGAGACAATTTGCCTCACTTTCCATCAGCGTCTGGAGACACACTTGAAAGTCCTGCTGCTCTAGTGTGTCTGAGATCAATGGACAGGGATTCTGTATATTTTTAAGTAATGTTTTCTTTAAAGACACTGAAAGCATTTGAAACTCGGAGATGGACAGTGAAGGAGGATGTAATGAGATGGATCAGGAAGCCAGAGGCAGAGCAGGTTGGGAGTCAGCATCCTCTGAAAAACAGGAATGTCACCTCTGGCTCTATGAGGCCTTCGGTGGGGGTGGCACTCAGCATATCCTGCATGGCAGTACTGTTTCTCATTGGCGCCATTCATCCTCCTGTTGCTTCAGATGCCTAGGACATCCAGTGCTCCAACAGGTCCCGGGTACATCATAGCTGCTACAGAGAACCGGGCAGATGAGCTCAAGGCCACATAGGGGGCATCGTTATTACACACTTGATGCTGCTCTCGGAACTCCATGTGCCTAGCTGACCACTGACATGGCAAAGAGGACAAGCGAAAGGCACAGGCCTTGGTGTCAGACTGCCTAAGGCCAAGCCCCGCTCTTGCCAAGCCCTTGGCTCAGAAACCCCTAGGCAGGGGTCTGTCCTAGCTTGCTTTTCTGTTGTTATGACAACCGTAACAACTTCTGGGTCTTAATCCATCACTGGGAGAAATCAGGGCAGGGGCTCACAGCAGGAATCTGGGGCAAACACCACAGAGAAATGCTGCTTCCGGGCTTGATCCTTGGAGGGCCATCTACCCAGGGAACTGTACCATTCCCAGTGGGCGAGGCCTCCCACATAGGTCAGTGATTGAACTGTTACACACAGACCAACCTGATCGAGACAAACCTCCAATTGAGGTTTTTCTTCCCGGATCCCCTTACACTGCTGAGCTGGCAATAAACAGTGGGCAGCACCAGGCCTCATAGCATCCTTCTGATCGTGAGGTTTGGCTTCCAGGAAAGGACTTGCAGAAGGAGTACAACGCAGAGTAGAAGGGAAAGTCTGCAAACGGCTAGACCTGGCGGAGGGTCTGCCCATGGGTCAGGTGGGAAGTGGCACACGATCTGCTGAGTGAGGTTGGCGCCTCTGTAGACTCTGTCTAAGCCACGGTCTCAAGGCCCAGGGCCAGGTAGAGACTGTGTCTGCATCTTACACTGGGGACCATAGCTATGAGACAGCACCAACAGGTCAGAGGGGGGCGAGAAGATGTCAAGTCTGTCATTTATCTTGTCCCTTTCTCTCACTTGTGTTTACTTTTTGTGGTCTCTGGCTTTCTTCTTCTTTCTCTCCATAGGTGAGGTAGGTGAATAGTTTCTCCACAGCCAATGCAGCGTGGCTGCTTGGGGCTGCCACAGCTTGTGCTCCGAAGTGATACAGAGAACCCTTTTCTTATTTCCAAAGCCCCAGATTCAAAAGATTCCAGCCACCCAGTCAGGTGCCTCACCTCTCAAGCACTCCTTTATAACTGGGTTCAGGGTGTACCTGGATATGAGATAACACAGGGACTTCCACAGGGTCCTGTGGCTGAAATTGCTAAAGAGCAGTTCACAAGGAAAGAAGACTCTGTGTGAAAGGGAACGACGTGGCAGAGAGAGACGATTACAGGAGCGAGGCAGCTGGCGGCATATGGGCCGGCAAATGGCGGCTAATCACAGCGCAGAATCTGAAACTTTAGGTGACTGTCCTAAAATTAGCAACGACAGAACCAGGTTCTAACTCCATAGCCTCTGCCCCTAACTCCCATGGCCATGCAGAATGAAGGGGCGGGAAGGAATAAGCACTTCCAGATGTGCTGACATCTGTCCCATTCATACACATAGATATAAATTTCAGGGACCTCCTTGCCAAGGTGGCACAGGAAAGTCACAGTTCATAGTGCTCTGATGTTGCACCGCTTTATTCTCCCTGACAGCTGTCACCTGAGGATAAAGGTAGAGAGTACTGACAAGGAGATCCAGTGACAAATAGTGTCAGTGACCGAAGCCTATAGCCTAGTTCCCAAGCACATTAAACCAGCACCCCAAGGCCCACCCATCATGCATCGGTCAGCCAGAAGCAGCCTTAAGTGGTGCTTACAAGCCCATGGTAGCATTCTCCAGTAGGGAATGGATGCCCAGAAACTTGGTGCATAGGTTGAGAGGTCCCTCAGAGCATCCTGCATGTCCCAGAAGATGACTTGGGATCCACTTAGGTGTGACAGAGGGGGCCTTGGACGGAAACACACCAATGGAGGAGGGGAGCTCAATGCTGCCCTTGGCTCCTCTATTTTCCAGAAGGGAACCCTGAAGCTTGGGTTTCCGGAGATGGTGACGTGAGGCACGGGAGTTCGAGAGCTCTTGGGCCTGGGAGGAAACAGTGTTGACTCCCTCAGCCTCTTTGAGACTGTTTAACAAATTACCAACAGAATGTTCTGTAAATAAAGAGATTAAAGCCTTTTGTACGGTGCCCATTTTCCCCTGGGAAGAGGATTATGAGGCAATAGCAC